TGTCTTTGTGGACATTTTCCAAGGGAACACAAAAAAAAAAAAAAATGCAGGGAAAAAAAAAAAACCCCAAACCAACTCCTTAGACTTTAATCCTTGGGTTTATTTCAAAGCTTACAAAGGCAAATCTGGTTTATGGCGAGAGATTTGTGTGATTTCTTCTGCTCCGGGGATGAATGGGGCGGCAGATGGGGAGGGGGGGATTTGGGGACCCCTCGGTTCTGTCTCCTCGCAATCCTGACCCTGCTGTGCTTTGGAGCTGCTCAGGGCACGGAATGGGGTCAGAGCAGAGCCCTGCTCGGGCAGGAGATGTTGTTTCCTCCTTTTCCACAATTTCCAAGCCCATTTTTCTCCCCCTGATCCCCGTCTCCTTACCAATTCCTGCTCCAGTTGCTGCCTTGCCCTCGAGTGGGAAATCCCGTGCTTAGAGCGGGAATAAAATCAACTGGACACTGCAAGAAAAGGCCTCAAAAAATCCTGTTTTTCCCCCAAAGTCCTGGGAAATAACTGAGGGTTTGAGCCCTGCAAAAGGAGTTCAAATCCCCAATACCTTCCCCACTTTTGGGACACCTCCCAGCTGAAATCCAGGCTGGAGGAAGAGCGGGGTGTGGGAGGAGGGGGCTGCAGACGTGTCCCACCCTGGGGAATCGGGGATTTTATTCCTGTGCATAGAGCAGGAATAAAACCACCTGGACACTGCAAGAAAAGGCCTCAAAAATCCTGGTTTTTTCCCCCCCAAAGTCCTGGGACTTTCTATTTTTTTTTTCCCTGAAGCCCTGGGAAATAACAAACATATTTGAGCCCCGCAAAAGGAGTTCAAATCCTCGACACCATCCCCACTTTTGGGGCATCTCTGAACCAAAATCCAGGCTGGAGGAAGACCAGAAAATTGGGGAGGACAAGCCAAGACAAGTGTGGACGGAGCAGAACATCTCCATCGGACTCTGCCATCCATCCAGCCCGGCAAAAGGAGGAGGCGAGGAGAAACCCTGATTCCACACGAGATGAAAAAGCACCTGGAAGCCACCACAACGCCAGGAGCTCGCCCAGCTGGCCCAGCCACGCTGCCCAGCTCCTGCTGAAACTGGCCCCGAGCTAAGCAGCAGTGGGAAGCCGAGTTCTGCCGCTTTGATCGAGCCTGAGAGAGTTGCTATCAGCCCGGGAAGGGATGCTGGATGAATATTCCCTGGCACAGCCCCGCGATGGTTCTGAGCCATGAGCTGGCAGGCTCGGGGAAGCCGCAGCTCTGCTGTGATCCACGGGGAAACGCCCTCCCCTCCCGCGTTTGGTAATTTTGGGAGCAGGGAAGGAGCTCCCGAGGCTGGAGCTGCCCCGTGGCCGTTCCCACAGCATGGTTGGAAGGGAAGGAGGAGCTGTGGCTGCTGGAATTGGTCCCGACAGMTCATCCCAACCCTCCAGGGCTCTTCCTGACCCCCTCGGGGTCCTGTCCCGCTGGAAAGTTAGTGTGGGTTTGTA